CTTTTGGCTTAACTAATGCACCTGCTACTTTTCAACGAGTAATGGATAAAATCTTTTCTGATCTTAAAAATAAATTTATTTTAGTGTATCTTGATGATATTACTATTTATTCAAAAACTTTTGAGGAACACTTAGAACATTTAAAGAAAGTTTTTAAACGACTACAAAATGCTGGGTTAAAATTAGGAAAAGATAAATATTGTTTTAAAAAACAACAGCTAGCTTTTCTTGGACATATTATTAGTGAAAATGGTATTGCTCCTGATCCTTCAAAAATTGATAAGGTTCAAAATTATCCTGCACCTAGTAATCTTACTGAACTTCAAGGATTTATTGGGTTAGCTTCTTATTATCGAAGGTTTATTCTTAACTTTTCACAAATTGTTCACCCTTTAAACATATTGTTAAAAAAAAATATTCCTTTTGTTTGGACTAACACCTGTTAACAAGCTATGGATATCTTGAAGAAAAAATCAACAACTGCTCCTATTTTACAATATCCCGATTTTGAAAAACCATTCATACTTTTTACTGACGCTTCGTATCAAGGCTTGGGTGCCATTCTTGATCAAAAGGATAATGATAATAATGAACATGTAATAGCATATGCTAGTAGATCTTTGAATGCTGCTGAAATTAATTATTCTCCAACCGAAATTAAATGTTTTGCTGCAGTTTGGGGAATGGAATATTTTCAACCTTATATTTATATGAAACCTTTTAACCTTATCACTGATCATTCAGCACTTCGTTGGTTACTAAATCAGCCTAATCCTGCCAAAAGAGTTACTCGATGGATACAACGGATAGCTGATTATCCTTACACAGTCATACATCGCAAGGAACGAGTCCACTCAAATGTAAATGCACTTTCTTGGCTTCTTAAAAAGCCATCCTAGGAAAAACATCAAACACTCTAACCAAAATGGAATCTACTCTCTATTTTAACTTTGTGAAATATTTAACAACTTCAGAATTACTCCCAAATTTGACTTTAAAGGAATAACAACAATTTAAAAAACAAGCAACACATTATATTGTTGAAAACAATCAACTATACAGAAAACCAAAAGGATCTTTACAAAAATTACTGTATGTAATTCAGGAATCCGAACTGCTTATATGGATTACATTCTGATCTTCTTGCTAGACACTTTGGCTTTGATGGAACTTATAATCATGCTAAAAACAAATACTATTGGCCTAAAATGTATAAAAGTATTACAAGCTATATTCAAACT